CACTAAGTTGCCCAGGCGGGTCTCGAACCCGCAGGCTCAGGCAATCCACTCACCTCAGCCCCCCAAGGTGCGGGATTACAGGCTGAGCCACCGAGCCCAGCTGAGAATATTTCTATACTTTATGAAGTGGTATATTTATTTAAAAGTAGATTTAGGTCAGTGGACGTTCTAGAAAAGGCAAAACTATGAGATAATAAAAAGATCAGCAGTTTCCAGAAACTCAGGAAAAGGGATGAATAGGTGGAGCACAGGAGATCTTTACTGCAGTGAAACTATTTTGTATGATACTGTAATGGTGGAATACATTTGTCAAAACTCATAGAACTTTGTAACACAAAGAGTGGACCCTAATGTAAACTATGGACTTTTTAGTTAATGTATCAATATTGGTTCATTAAATATACCACTCTAATAATAATGTACAGTTGACATTCCATATCTGTGGTTTCCATGTCTATGGAATCAACAAAGCATGGTTTGAAAGTATTCAGGGAAAAAAATTCCACAAAGATCCAAAAAGCAAAACTTTAATTTTCTGGGCACTGAGTACCACAGTGAATCCACTTGAATGATGTCATGTGTAGGTATTGTATTAGGTATTGTAAGTAACCTAGAGATGATTTAGTAAATACAAGCGAATGTGGTAGGTTATATGCAAATGCTATGCCATTTTATATAAGGGACTTGATACCATCCTCAAATTTTGGTGTCCAAGAGGGGTCTTGGAACCAAAACAAATCCCCCACAGATGCCAAAGAATACTGTATTAATATTGGTTCATCAAATGTACCACACTAATGTAAGATGTTAATAATAAGGAATATGTAGGAACTCTTGGTACTATCTGCTAAGTTTTCTGTAAACCTAAAACTATCCTAAAGATATAGTCTACTAATTTAAAATCTTATTTTTAAAGATGATAGAAGAATAAAGGAAATCCCTTCCATAATCCTGGCATCCAAAGATAACTACTAGTAACATAAATATTCATGGAGATTTTATATTCATATATATGTACACATAAACACTGTACACACACTATCATTTTTATAAGGATAGAATCATTAAATATTAGCAATACACAAGTTCTTATATTTCTAACAACAACCCTAAAGATTATTATTTCTGTTTTATAGGTGAAGTAACTGAGTTGTTAAATGGCTGAACCAGGTTCAATTCCCCAGTGTATTTTATTCCAAAGCCTATATTCATGCCACTCCATCCCTTTGACTTTATCAACAGTTACAGAGCAAAACATAAGGACTACTTTTTGTTCTATCTTTATTTCATATATTTACCCTTCATAAGATATACCAATCTTTCATACACTATACTGCCTTCATACAGCAACCTCCACTTCATATGATGGTGTGTTTCTTAACTCTGTGTGCTTGGTATAGAATCCTTGCTTATTGAAAGGAAGCAGTAGAAGGCTGGGCGCAGTGGCTCACGCCTGTAATCCCAGCACTTAGGGAGGCCAAGGCGAGAGGATTACCTGATCCTAGGAGTTCAAGACCAGCATGGGCAATATGGTGAGACCTCATCTTTATAATAAATCAAAAAAATTAGGCGAGTGTGATGGCACAGGCCTGTAGTCCCAGCTATTTGGAAGGCTGAGGCGGCATGATCACCTGAGCCCAGCAGGTTGAGGCTGCAGTAACTGTGATCATGCCACCACACTCCAGCCTAGGCAACAGAGTGAGACTCTGACTCAAAAAAAAGAAAGGAAGCAGTTAAGGCCCAGCTCCTTTTTACTCCAGGGAGTTCTAGCGAGAAGCCAACAGTGAACTGGCGTACATTTTTGGCAATAATGTTGCTTCCTATCTTCTGTATAAGTAGCTCTCAAAATTCAGGTGTTCAAGAAAATTATTTCTGGTACCTAAAGAGCCTGAGAGTATAGAGGGTGAGGGTTAGAAACAGATGAAAAGGTGGGGAGAAATGAATTCATGGGATGCCCTGGGGAAGGAAGAAGCCTCCAATGGGACTCAGTGGAGATGGCTTGACCATCCAGAAGGGATGGTAACATTCATAAGCTTTCAATGAATTGATAGCAGCCAGTTCAAGCAGCACCTGTTGTGATTAGCTATTTAGGGAAACTTTAAAGCAGACCCTGTCCCTGCCCCTTCTCTCGGCACCTATAGGAGACACTCTGAGACTCCGAACAATTCTGGAAGCAGTACAGAAGCACATCCATTCTTCTTCCCTCATCTTCAAACTGGCCCAAGATGCATTCAAGATTGCTACTCCCACGGACAGTAGTACTGACAGCACTCTGCTCAATGTGGCCCTGGAACTTGGGTTACAGGTATGGAAGAAGAGTGGGCCATTCCCAATTTAGGCTTTTGGCCTAGTGACAATTGGTAGAAGATGAGATCCCTAGGAGGCTAGGTATAGACCAAGTCTAGTTCTTTCTTTGTCCCTAGAGCACAAGTTCTAGGCTAGGCAAAAGGTAAGGACTCCATAAGTTGGGTTCTGCTTTTAAGTTAAGGCCAGAAGTAGTACATGCTCCATTGGGCCCCCATTTTTTCTCTATCTCCCATTTCTCGAAGTCAAGCAAGGTAGGGTAATAAGGACTTTGTTACAGGTCATCAGAGAAGCCTCCTATCTGATTGGTGAGAAAGAAATTAAACTTGTCTATACTTATCATGAGAGAGACTGCTGCTTAAAGCACCAAAAAATATCTGTTGCATAAATAAATGGCAAGGGGAGGGGGAAGTCATAATAGTTAGGCTGAGCCCACTGGAAAGGCCTCTTTTGTGCCCAGGTAATGCGGATGACCTTATCAACCCTTAACTGGAGGCGCCGGGAGATGGTACGATGGTTGGTGACCTGTGCTACTGAAGTGGGTGAGTGCCCCACCTCCCTCTACCCCGAAGGAAAGGAGTTTCTAGGCCTTACACTTGGGACAGTACAATGAATCCCTAGAGCTCTCATATTTCTATTCTTTATGGCCTAAGAAAGGATGGGGCTGCTAGTAAGAGAAGATAGCCTCTGTTCAGCCAGCTTGAGCTCTGCCCTCACTTCTTGAACCATATCCTGATGTCAGCAGCACTTTGATCCTCTGATCAGAATGAATTTTCAGCCACCAATAATCAAGTGTTCCCTTGGGAGGTAGTAGGCATAGTGCTTTGGTCTCAGTCCCTGTCTATGCTTCTGAGAAACCCTAGACGACTTGAAGACTCCAGACCCTTTCTAGAGAACAAAGCTCTAGCACAAGACTACCCTGAGAGGCCCCACTTCAGCTAGAATCCGTGGCAGATCTGTGACCCCTGCCTTGGGGCAGGCAAACCACAGGCTCTGCTGCTTCATCCTTGTGAGGGGCTAAGAGCACCTGCAGAGAGCTTGAGCCCTCTGACCTGGGGGAGGAAGTGATGGGAAAAGACCCCAAATAAGGTCTGGCTATCCAGGATGTTCCCCTTGCCCTGGTTTGCCTCAGATCATGTCAAGGCTGCTAGGAAGCCTGGTCAATATAGTGAGACCATGTCTCTACAAAAACCAAAATAAATTTAAAAATTAACTGGGTGTGGTGGTGTACACCTGTAGGCCCAGCTTCTTGGGAGGCCAAGGCAGGAGGATCATTTGAGCCCTGGAGGCTACAGTGAACTATGATGGAGCCACTGCACTCCAGCCTCTGAGTGACAGAGTGAGACCCTTTCTGGGGGAAAAAAAAAGGCTGCTAAGGAGGAGGAAGAGCTTGTCTCTGCTATCCAAGTTCAAACCCAAATGGTAATCTGGGAAAACCTGGATCAGGACCCAGATGGCCATAGCTAAGTTCAGGCTCTTCCTGACAGGTGTGCGGGCCCTGGTGAGCATCTTGCAGAGCTGGTACACGCTCTTCACCCCCACTGAGGCTACTAGTATCGTGGCTGCCACAGCTGTATCCCACACCACTATCCTGCGCCTCAGTCTTGACTATCCACAGCGGGAGGAACTAGTGAGCTGTGCTCGTACCTTGGCCCTGCAGTGTGCTATGAAGGATCCACAGAGCTGTGCCCTGTCAGCCCTTACACTCTGTGAGAAAGACCACATTGCCTTTGAGGCAGCCTACCAGATTTGCCATTGATGCTGCTGCCGGAGGTATGACCCATTCACAGCTGTTCACCATCGCCCGCTACATGGAGCTTCGTGGCTACCCGCTACGTGCCTTCAAGCTGGCCTCCCTGGCCATGAGCCATCTTAACCTGGCCTACAACCAGGACACCCACCCAGCCATCAATGATGTGCTCTGGGCATGTGCCCTCAGCCACTCTCTAGGCAAGAATGAACTGGCAGCTCTCATCCCCCTGGTGGTGAAGAGTGTACATTGTGCCACAGTGCTTTCAGATATCCTGCGACGCTGCACTGTGACTGCACCTGGCTTGGCAGGCATCCCAGGCCGCCGCAGCTCTGGAAAGCTCATGTCCACTGACAAAGCTCCATTGCGCCAGCTCCTGGATGCCACCATCAATGCCTATATCAACACTACACACTCACGCCTGACACACATCAGCCCCCGCCACTACGGAGAGTTCATCGAGTTTCTGAGCAAGGCTCGGGAGACCTTTCTGCTGCCCCAGGATGGCCACTTGCAATTTGCCCAGTTCATCGACAACCTCAAACAGATCTACAAAGGCAAGAAAAAGTTGATGCTGCTGGTGCGAGAGCGCTTTGGCTGAGAAAACAGATAGCTCACTGTCAGGGCAGTCTGGGCTCCCAGGTCCATCAGGCCAGGCCAAGGACATTGAAACATTTGTCCACCCCTGGAGGACTCAGCACCTGTGGCTGAGGCCAGAGAACCGCAGGGCTAAGGATGAGGAGAGTCCCACTCTTGCCAATATACCTGCCTCGGCAAGCTTCTCACTACAGCCCTGACCTGTTTCTGGAGGAGCCGGGCCCTGCATATCGATCAGAAACTCCACAACACACCACCTCATGCCCTATATCCTGCATGTCCTGGGCATTGGCCCCCTCTCCCTTGGCAAACACAGAACACTGTTCCGTCTCAGGGATTGCTTAACCAGAGAAACAGAAGCATTTATGGTACTGTAAATACTATAGTATATGTGTTGCCAATTATTGTAAAGTTGTAACTATTTATAATTCTGGTTCTGATTTGTTGGGCACTTGAAGTAGCTGTGGGTGGGAGGATATGCTTGTTTTCTGAGGAGACTCACAACCATTTCTCAGGTTTCCTTTGCAGAGTGTATGCTATTGGCAGTGGAAGAGTGAGGGTGCCAAGGAGAAAAATGGCCAGTTAGAATAGTCTAGTCTATGCAGAAACCCCAGCCTACAGACATGGCATTGTAACCCAGTGGTGGCTGAGGAGCAGAGGCTAGGACTGGACTTAGACTTTTGTTTCGTGAAGCTATGAGGACACGAAGCTCCTGCTCCTGCATCACACATCCTCTTCAGGAGCCTGCTGAACACCTGAGAACAAGTGCAGGGAGAAGGTGAAGGTCTGGGAAGCTGCTGAGTTCATAATATTCACCTGTGCCCATCGCCTTTGTGTTAGTGTCTGATTTCATCTGTAATTATGTGTATCTGTTTGGCTAAGTACGTATGTCTGTGTGCATAAATGTATCTGTGCATGCCTGTCTGTATGTACTCAGGTATATTTATGTGTATCTGTGTTGGTTCTGTGTCTGTGTACCTGTGTGAATATGTGTGTACTGGACTGTGGATTTCTGTGTGAGGGTATACACATTTGCATACCTATGAGAATGAATACACATACACGAGTGCATGTGTAGAAACATGTTTGTGTCTATGTATCTGCCAGTTATCCATGCATCTGTGTGTCTTTATATGTGTAACTGAGCATTTTTCTACATGTATTTATGTCTGTGTATTCATATGTTTGAGGATCTACATGAATGTGTCCCTTCTCTTTTTGCCAGACCTCTCCTTCCCATTCCTCTTAGTCTCTCTCACCAGCTAATCATTTGTTCCCCATCTCTGTTCCTCCTGTGTTTACCATTCTCTTGCCAACCTTCTAAGCACCAGTTTCCTTCTACCTTAAGACTAGCTGCTTCAGCTCCACAGTTCTCTTCTCGCGCCATACTTACTGTCTTCCTTTGCCTTTCTACCTCAAGCTTCCTCTGCCTGCTTTTATCGTAGTCTCATTGCTGATTTGGAGGCCGGGCTGGTATGCACTTGGCCTTTCCCTTCCTATTTCTAGCCCTAGTGGGCAGCCCCTGTCTTAGCCTGACTGACCTCCACAGTGTATCTTGTTCCTGATACCTTCCTGACACCTATGCTCAACCTGGAATTATTATAGGAGGTAGCAAGGGTATTCAAAAGTCAGTTAGATACCAGTGTCTTGGTGTTTACTGCTTTATGTCTTAGTTCCTGAGTTGGGGGTAGGGTTTGATAGGGAAGGGGTGGTATAGGTAGGGTGCGAACTAAGGACCTGTTTTATTTTTCTTTCTTTGACAAACTGTTTATGTCACCTTTCTACTCCAAACTGACTGAGAGGTTGTATTTGCTATCTGTGGCTACTAAAATCTTCCTGTCCAGCCAAGGGCCCCTATAAGACCTCAGCCCAATGGGTTGGTAAAAAAGTGAAGCCTCTTCCATTTCTGCATCACAGTTGCCCTTTTTTTAGCAGGTATGTGAACTCACAGTGCTTTTCTATGAATAAATCATGGATCACAGAAAGGATCATTTTTCTAATAGCAGATACTGTGTTATTTCTATAAATGAGGCCCTTCTGACCCTTCTGCATTGCCCTGGCTTGGCTAGGGAGCTGGTTCAGCCTATAGTACAGTGGGTTCCTAGTGGTCTAAGGAGATGCAGAATGACAAAGAATTTCCTGCCATACCAGGCCCCTTTCCAGAGCTCACAAACACCACAGAACTTTGTCCTAGGAAGCAGGTGCCACCATTATGGGGAGAACACCAAGATCCTGAGAAAATCAAAGGGTATGCTCAAAAAAGAATGTAAACAACGCTGAGTGCCAGAGGGCCTTTTGGTGTCAGGACTCCTCGCCTCGGTGATGATGGCCTAGTCTGAGGCTCTAATCCTAAGCAACCTTGCTCTGAGCTTTCATGTCCTCCCCATCTTTTGCTATCAAAGTTAAAGGCCCCTCAGCTTCTCCCTGTTCACCTAGACTCCATCTTCCTCCCCATGCCTCTGTGAGTGTTCTACCTACTTCTGTGCTGCTCTTTGACCTATACTCCCCTTCCTCCCCCCACAAAGCCTTTGGCCTTTGTATGCTGTGAGGACCCCACCCCTTTTCACAAGGCCAACTGCTAAGAAGCTCTACCCTAACCCATGTAGCTCTGGGGCTTGGATATCTCGGAGCAAGATGCTGGTAAGAACCTTGACATTAAGTTCTATAGTACATATTAACTGATACCTGGCCTCCATGACTTAGGGAGAGACTGTAGAGAGAGAGGCCCAAGGGAAGAAGCAGAGGCAGAGAAGGAACTGAGGATAAGGGCACAAATCCTTCAAAACAAAATCGCATACTAGACTTCAACTCTGGAATGTTTATTCTCCCGGAAACAATCATCTGTGTTAGTGGTACTTGAGGGTAAAGGTACATGCTCAATTCTGTCGAAGCAGACGTGAGTATCTATGCACGGCATCCACAAAGGCCCCCACGTGTTCTGGGTCCATGTCAGGATAAAGCCCATGGCCCAGGTTGGCAATGTAGCGTCGTGGCCCAAAGTCATCCAGCATCTGCTGCACCAGTCGCCCAATCTCCTCCTGGAAGACCAATAGCCTCTGTCTTCCCTATACATAATAGTGACATGCACACACATTATATACACGTAGGCATGCTTCTACTCAGTGTTATTCATTCAGTCATTAATTCAGCAAAATTATCAGATGCCTAGTATGGACCAGGCACTAAGAATAAACACAAATGAACAACAAAAATTCCTGCCGTCTTAGGGCCTGTTGTGCATATGGAGTAGAGAGGGGAAGGACAAGCAGACATAATAAAAACTCACACATGATAATACAGCCATATCCACAGCCAAAAGAACGCACAGAGAAACATGCAGACATAGGGGCCCTAGCTGTTACCTCAGATGCATACAGGGCACAGGGGTCCAGGTTGCCCTGCAAGGTCACCGTCTTCCCCACAAGCTTCCTGGAAGCAGAGCCAGTGCTGTTTTAGTAACTGCACATGTTAGCTGCCCCCCTCTTCACTTCAATCTCACGGACCCACCCCTCCGTTACTCACCGGGCTTTCTTTGGGACCACTGTCCAGTCAAGCCCAACCACCTCATAGCCAGCCTGGGCCAGCTCCTCCAGGGCAAAATGCCCATCTTTAGCAAAGATGATCTGGAAGAAAGCAGATCTCCGGAGCTGTAGAGGGTCTTGCTACACCCTCTAATCTTTCTCGGCTGCACTTCTGCTGCCCTCCAGTGGCCACTCCAGTCCACACAGGACTTACCCTGAAAGCTCCCCATGCCTACTTTCACTCAGCCCATCCCAATGCTCACCATGGGCACCGGTGCCAGGCCTGCCTCTTGCAGCCCAGCCTTCACTCGTTTGGCCACATCACGGATATACGGCAATGCAAACTTGCTGAAGAGTTGTGGGCCAAGATGCCCTGCATGGGACTCAAAGAGCTGCAATGCCTACAGTTAGGTGTGGTGAAGAGAAAACATAACACAAAGTGTTAGTACTTCAGGCCCCACATAGAGAATCTGCCTCAATTTGCCCCAAGTGACGTCAATCCCTGATTCTGCCATAGCCCGTAAACCCAGTTCCAGTCAAAAAGTTCTGCCTTCTTCTCCAGATCCCAGTACCAGCTTTGTTTTTGAACACTCAAAGCATTAAGTTATCACTTCTTGGTCTTTTGGCTAAGATCAAATGTAGTATCAAAGTATTAAGCCCCCCTGCCAGTGTCAGGGTGGGCTTAGCTGCTGTAGCTAGACCATTGAAGGCCAAGTTTCTTTCATGCCTGGCATTAAGACCCCTGCTCTCTCAGGTTTAGAAATCCCTCTGATTCTTTTAGACCAAACCCCAGCCTATTTGTGGCTCTCTCAGCACTTACCTGGGCACCAGCAGCTACTTGTCCTACCAGATATGGAACCAAAGCATCAGTGAGGATGTGAAGCAGCTGGTGACTGGCCTGAGGTCTCTGATAGAGCCAGCGCTTGGCCTGAGCCATGGTGCTTGAGCCACCACCCTCAATCATGTATGTCATCAGGGTCCACTACAGATGGATACAAAGATGTCACAGGTGCACAAGCCAGATTGACACATCCTTTCCTTGTCTGTACCAGACCTGCCAGAGTGATCTCCCTATACCCCAGTCCCTGCTCTGTCCCATATTACCGGGGCACCAGCAAAGCCAATCAGTGGCACACGCCCAGCCAGTCGTTGTCGGGTAAGAGTAATGGCCTGGAACACATAGCCCAGCTCAGAGGGCACCACTGCTGGATCTCGTAGGCGCTCTAAGTCCCGTTCTTCCCTTAATGGCTCTGAGAAGCTAGGTCCTTTGCCAGGTACCATGGTCACCTCCATGCCCAGTGCCTGGAGAGGGAGAAAACATTTGGGTTCCCAGAAGGGAACTTCAGGTGGAAAGGTTCTATCATCCCATTCCAGGAGGAAAGGAAAATAAAAAGAAAGCTCAAGACAAACTCCCATCTCTTTCAGCCTTAGTTTTTCCCCCTATTCAGTCAGGATAAGTGCTTATTTGAACCTTGACTGGACCGATAGAAGGATTTTCAAGGGGTCCTTGGATCTCATACCAGGATAAGGTTTGAGTAGGTACCTGGGGTACAACAAGGATGTCAGAGAAGATGATGGCAGCATCCAGAGGGAAGCGACGCAGTGGCTAGAGGAAATAGGAGACAGGTTGCTAGGAGGCAAGCTGAGGACATAAATCCCTGCCTCTTCTGTGGACCCCTCACCTGCAGAGTCAGTTCACAGCAGGCCTCAGGAGAGCGACAAGTGCTGAAAAAGTCCTGGGCAGCTCGCGTTTCCCTAAACTCTGAAGACAGGACAGGAAAGACAGGACTCAGCCTTGAGGCCCTTCAGAGCCCTCCCTTGCCCTTCGAGAACTTTTCACTCTCCAGAGTATTATCTGGACGTCTGGGCCTTGATTCTGACCTGGTAAGTAGCGGCCTGCCTGCCGCATGCACCAAACGGGAGTGTAGTCTGTTTCCTCTCCCCAAGCTGCTCGCAGGAATGTGTCATTCTTCAGCTCCGGAAAACCCTGAGAACTGACGATCAGAGGGGGATGGAGGTAGATGTCAGTATGCTAGGCTATGGGTTGGGGAAGAGTACAGCACCACTATCTGCCTCCTCCAGGCCAGCTCCCAAACCGTGGCTTTCCGCCCATTCTGCCTCCTCTCTGCCTATCAGGTGGTGCACAAGACTCTAGAAGGGCCCGTGCTGGGGACCTCTTCCCTACACTTAGTCCCAACACTTCCAAGCGCAAAGCGACGGAGAAACTTGGGGGGCGGGGAGATGAAAGCCCAGTGAGGATAGTTTTTTTAGGGGGTGGGGGGGTCCTTCGGACTAACGAATCTCAGGAACGGGGGTGCCAGTGAGCTAGTTCAGGAACTGGGAGATCCCCAGGCTGAGGAGATAGTCAAAGAGGAATTCAGAGATGGTCCCAGAATAGAGATCCTAGTTGGAAATCCTGAGACACCCCCTGAATGAAGGTCCCTGGGATGAAGGTCTCAAGAATTCATGGTTGGAGGATTCGGGACCCAACTAATGAGGCTTGGGTTGGGAGAGCTCCAGGATGGGAAAAAGGGAATATAGAGATAATGTCTTGAGTTGGAAAATTCAAATTAGAAACCCCGCTGGCAACGCCGCATGCTGCGTGGAACTCACCCCAACCCGTTCGCCTCCATGCTAAGCTGTTCGCGACTGCGAGAATAACCCCACTTTAACCTGAATCTGAACCCGCCCCTCAGTCCAGGCTCCGCCCCTTCCTGGAGGAAACCAAGGGCGTCGCCATGTTAAAAGTCACATGATCAGATTCCAGTGACAGTACCAGGGCTGCCCTGCATGCTGCCGGTAGGACCCATACCTTTTTTCACCGTAAAGTCCGCTGTAGCGACGCAACAAAAAAACCGCCCAAATGAAAGAATTCCTCTGTAGCTCCATTTTACGGTGGCAGGAGGAATTTGTCCTCATCTGGTGGTCTGGGTATCCCGGAGGCTTCGCGCATATCTCGCTCTCCATTATTCTAACAGATTTATCCAGCCAGGCTTGCAACGGACCATGGAACCAGGGTGTTCAGGGAACTGAAATCATCACATATTGATTGATATTACCTACTAAGAGCCCTGCACTATAGTAGGTGCGGAGATTAAAGTGCTGCGCAAGACAGCCTTTAAGGAGCTACAAGACTGAGGGGAAAGCAGAAATCAGGAATCACACCAAAGTGGCTAATGACCACCAGTGTCCTGGGATTAGGAGTAGCAACCAGGATCAAGCCTGAATGACTCAAGACTTCTGTCAGTGGCGGGGAGTTTGTCATTCTCTCAAACATTTTAGTAACACCGCCCCTAGGATGGGGAGTCCAGCAGATTTTTAACCGACTGGTTGGGGGCGGCAGGCAAAAATAGAAACCCAGAGGACCAGGAAAAATGGCTGTTGCAGTGATCCACCCTAGATAGGATGGTGGCTTGAACGAGAGTAGTAGCAGTAGAGATTAAATAGTAGTAGCAAAGGAATGGAGGGAGAGAGATTGATCCGGTAGAAACCACTGATCTTGGGTTTGGTTGGGTTTAGTGTTGAAGGGGCACAGAGGTAGGCAATATGGTTGAGTTCAGGAGTGCACAGGGCAATAAATACAGTGTGAGCTGGAGTGCGCTTAGTCCAGAACATACGGCGAAGGCTGGCCGGAGGCGGGACCGGGCGTGGTGGGAAGCTTGGCCCGCGGTCGCCTCTCCTCCCGGCAGGGTCGCCTCTGGGTTTCCCTCAGCTGCTTCGCCATGGCGGGCCCTGGCCCGGGCGCTGCGCTCGAGTCCCCGCGGCAGCTGCTGGGCCGCGTGCGCTTCCTGGCGG